CAACGCCCGATTGGCCCGCGTTTGGATGGACCCAGGTCCGTAGATCCCCGACACGGGAGCTTCTTCCCAGGAGGCCAAAAGACATTCCGACACAAACGAACGTCGATTCCCAGGAAGACACGGGAACATAGTGGAAGTGGAGGGTAGCACGCAGCTCCAGAAAATAAGGAAAAAGCTGGGGGATCCTGGGGATGCTGTGCGTCTTTGCTCGTGTGCCCCATGGGCGCCTGCACTTTCGGCCGCCCGCGCCGTCCGCATGGGAGCGCTCTCTTTCACTCCCGGGGGATCGCCCCTGAAGCCGCCGGGGCGTTGCCATGTCTTCAGGCCGGGCGCTCTCGTTCGTTTTTTTCGGCCCGGGGGCCGGCACTGATATCGATCCGCCTCGGAAACGGCGCAGGAAGGTGGGGGGTCTGTAGGGACCCAGTCGTGATTCTCCGCGATGCATTTTTGAGGGGGGCCACTTTCTGGGGGGCAACGTCGGATCTCACGGATGGGCGCTACAAGGGGGGAGGGGGGGCAGGGGGAGGGTCTGGTTCAGGAGCGAAGGAAAGACGTACACGTACACGAATCCACGTTGGTCTCGAAAGTACGCACTGCACGGACGTATTGCGAGGCTGGTCTCGCGGACTGGGGGGCCGTATTCATGTATGTTTTTTGGGGGGGGCTCCCTAGTGGTAAGGTCACGTTTCGCGTCGGCGCCGTCTGGGAATGCCAGTTTTCAAGAAGAACCAAAGAAAGTTCGGACGCCAGCATGAATCGTGACGTTACCCTGGGGGCGGGGACGGCTGGGGCCAATAACGGTCGCTCTCGCTCAGGCGACCGCACACATGGATTAAGGGGACACCGCACACATGGATTAAGGGGGCGTGGATTAGCGACGGGTCCCGTTTTCATAGGGAATCGCGGATTCCCGCCGCCGAGCGAGGTGGCACCGGCCGCATTTTGGGGAGGGCACCTCCCCCGATCCATGGATTTGGCGACCGCGCGCAAATCCATGGATCGCTAATCGATGTTTGCGCGCCCCCGACTCGCGAAAAGAACACCACGATTACGGTCGGACCGAGGTATCAAATCGAGGTGTGCTCTGAGAAATACCCTGATGTTCTTCGTGCTGGTTGGACATAGTTGTGCATCCTGGGGAAGGGTACCCTCGAGTGATCTTATGGCTTGGGGTGTTTGAGCGGGCGGAGGGTCTCATGTTCTTGAAGGATGTTTTTCTGTCCCAGGACCGACCGTCACGGCCGCTTCTGCGAACGTAAAACCGCGATTCAGATTTCGAGGAAGAGCAACTTGCACAAGCGGATGGTCTTGGCGCTCCGCGCGGGATTCTCGGATCGGCGCGATGCCTCTCTGGCGGCGCCTCCGGCGCCGCCCCTGGCTCGCGCCGTGCGCCGGGGTGGGGGGGCCCTGCGCCGATCCCAGAAGTCTGCGCGGAGCTCCGAGAGTTTTGCGCGGTGCGTTCTAATCGATCCTCCCTCCACGCTCGGGCCGAGGGTGCAAGCTTGATGTCGACTCGGGGATGCTAGCCCGGTGTTCTGCGTGCCTGCTGGCTGTTTTCGAGAAGGGCACCCTCGGTGATGTCACGGTCTGGGTGCTCTGGCCGGTGGAGGGCCTCGTGTTCTCGAGCAGGGCTCCTCTGTCCCAGGTCCGGCCGTGCGCCCTCGTCCTCGCGCCCCCCGCCCCCCCGAGCCCTATGGAACACGCACAGAGACATACTCATACTGTACGTCCTCCTCGGAGGCGCGCGTCCGACCCGAACATATAGCATACCCATCTTGTAGTGTATTGTTTCCCGAGCGGTGTGGCCAGAACGCGCCCCCCAACGACGCATATGCTATAATATTTCTCTGAGTATGTTGGGGTGACGCCGATTTCAGGTCCCCGCAAGATCGCAAGATCACCGGTTGGCCGATGGCGCACGGAGAAGGTCTCATGTGGGTGGCCAAGCTGTGGTGCGGGCGCCACGCTCTGCAATCCGACGGTCCTCTCTCGCAGCCTTGCGGTCGGGAGCTTCAGGCTCGGCTTGTCGCTCCGCCGGTTCTGGCCCTCCACGATTCGGCGCGACGCGCTAGCTAGTTTCTAATTCCCAGGCGTCAATGTCCCTAGCTGTTCCCAGCCTCCCGCCCCGCGGAGCGGAGCGACACGCTGTCCTCGGGGAAACGTGAGACTCGAGTTCGCCGGACCTCGTGTCAGGAACTCGGGTTAGGCGACGTTTTTTATGGGCCCGTCCTGAATTTTGACGGCCTATTTTTCCTATGATGTTTGCAGCGGGAGCTCGCGTCAAATTTCAGATTGGGTCTCGTCATTTTCCTGTCAGGCCAACCCGAGTCCCCCGAACCCGAGACGTCTCCCCGATATCCGCTTGCAGGACATAGCGTTGAGTCGGGCTTGTCCCTCTACAGGCGGAGCATTCAAAAATAATAATAAAAGTAGCCTGGGGATTACTTTTTGAGCACTTTCTTTTTGAACATGTATGTATATATGCATGTATGTATGTATGTATGTATGTATGTATGTATGTATGTATGTATGTATGTATGTATGTATGTATGTATGTATGTATGTATGTATGTATGTATGTATGTATGTGTGTATGTGTGTATGTCTGTCTGTCTGTCTGTCTGTCTGTCTGTCTGTCTGTCTGTCTGTCTGCATGCATGCATGCATGCATGCATGCATGCATGCATGCATGTATGTATGTATGTATGTATGTATGTATGTGTGCATACCATGTGCCTTGTCTTCGATGCGTTGCACTTCTTTCTTCTTCCGCCCTCCCCCTCATCTGCTCCCTGCTCCCCGTCGCTGATGAGAAGGAGGACGGCGAGGAGGATGAGGAGGAAGAGGAATAACCTGATAAGATGAGTGAGGAGGAGGAGGAGGTAGAGAAGATGCGTGCGGACCCGGTGATGATGATTATGATGATGATGGTGATGATGTTGATGATGCTGGTGATGGTGATGGTGATGGCGATGTTGATGGTGATGATGATGATGTTGCTGATCATGATGATGATACTATGCTGATGGCGATGATGATGATGATGATGATGATGATGATGACGATGACGATGACGATGACGATGACGATGCTGATGATGATGATGGTGGTTCTGATGATTAGGAGGAGGATGAAGAGGAGGAGGCTGCGGATGAGGAGGAGTTATATAATATGAGAAGGAGGATGAGGAGGATGATGAGGATGAGGACGACGATGAGGAGGCATTGTTGATGCATTTTCATTGTGGCCGAAATTGCAATCACTATTCAAAACGCTTTCTGTATGAGGACGCGCCGCTCGTGCCAGCGATTCATGGGAAATCCTCCTAGAGATACCCCTGCCTACACCACGAAGCTCGAAGCGAACTGCGCATGCAAACAGCGCAAGAAAACCTTGAAGGCGAAAGAGGCCAAGCGCCTTGCGAAGGCCAAGTTCCAGAAGGCCGTGGACAAGGCGGTCGCCGAGGCGCTGCGGCAGAAAAAAAACAAGACCACCAAGCAGCGCAACGACCTCCACAGCATGTACCTGACGACTAAGGACACACGGGCCTTCGGGGCCATCCCGAACGGCGAGATCGACCTCTCGACCCCGCCCGACGAGCCCCCTGGCGCTGCCGCCGGGCCGAGCTCCCAAGACCTCGCCGCTGCGTTCGACGACGCGGACAACGGCGACCAGCTCGGCGTTGGCGGCGCCATGGGCGATGCTTCGGGGTGAGCGGGCGTCTGCTTCGGCGGGGGGCAGCGAGCGGCCAACGCTGTCCTTCGTAATTATAAGTGCATGCCGGTTCTACGCTGCCTGCCCCGGCTGGGCTGGCGACAGGAACCGTAGAAGCAACCACAAACGCAATCTCCCAGAAAACGTGGCCGTCGTCATACTCATCCTCTTCATGCTCATGGTATGCTTTGCCCCATCGTCTGTTGCCCAGGTTTGCCAATCGGCTGGCCCCTGCCTGCTGTCCGCGACTCGGCGCGTTGGGGATCCATGATGAGATTGCCTCGAGGGGGGATGGGGAGGAGGAGGAGGAGGAGGAGGAGGAGGAGGAGGAGGAGGAGGAGGAGGAGGAGGAGGAGGAGGAGGAGGAGGAGGGGGAGGGGGAGGAGGAGGAGTAGGATGAGGAGGAGGATAAGCAGCAGCAGCGTCAGCAGCAAGAGCAGCCTTATACTGGCTGTTTCTGAAGGAAGCCCGGTGGAAACACAGCTTTTCCTGATGCGCTTGCAGGTTTGGGCGAGGAAACCCGGTGAAACGCAGGTAATCCTCATAAGTTCGAAGGTTATGTTAAGGAAACCGTGTGGAAAAAAAACAGGGGATCTGGATAATTTTACAGGTGTTGGTAAGGGGGCCTGGTGAAAACACAGATAATCCTCATAATTCTTGCTTTTCTGGGTGCGGGCGCCCCTCCTCCTCCTCCCGCGCCCCCCCCCCCCCCCCGGCCTCTCCGCAGCGCGCCCGTATCCAGCAAATTTGAAACTATTGCGATTATCTGTGTTTTCACAGGGTTTCCGTACCAAAACTCATACTTTTCATCCAGGTTTTACATGACTCCCTTACCAACACCTTCAACATTATCAAGATTATCTGTGTGTTTTACATGGTTTCTGGACCAACACCTGGCAATCACCCCCCCTGAAAAGGGAGGAGGAGGAGAAGAAGGAGGAGGACGAGGAGGAGGAGGATGAAGAGGAGGAGGAGGAAGAGGAGCAGGAGGAGGAGGAGGAGGACGAGGGCGACGAGGAGGATGACGACGACGAAAATTGGAGAGGAAGAAGGCACCGAGAAGAAGAAAAAGGTATGATCGCAGGGGGCGGCCGTTATATATACATATCTATATATGTATATATATATATATATATATTTATATACATATATGTATATATATATATATATATGTGGGTGTGTAAATGGATATGTATGTATATGTATATGTATATATATACATATATATATATATGTATATGTATGGCTTGTGTTTGTTGTTTCTATGTTGTCTTGATTTTTTCGCCCAAGAGCCGCCTGTATGGGGGACGTGCCCGACCTAAACGCAGCGCGTCGCAGAGGCCGCCGCCGCGACACGCCGAGCAGGCTTCGCCATTCGCCCTGGCCGGGGCGGCCCGCCCTTCCTGCGGCGCTGCGCCCTCCTTCTCGACGTGAGCTCGCCGCTCGTGCTTGCGCTGCCAGGGCTGTTTCTTCCTCTTCTTTTTTTGTTTCTCTCTGTCTCTCTCCCTTTTTTCGCTGTGTCTCGTACGGTGGGGGCGTTGGTTAGGGAATGCGCCCAGGAGGCTGCAGACCTTGGGGGATTCCGTATCTGGTGCTGGCGGCGGTGATGATCCATGGCCCAGCCTCGATTGGAGTTCCGCCGTCCTCCAGACCCTGGATTCCTTATCTACACCTCCGAGCCGTTGGCGGAGGCGGAGGCCTTCGTCCAGGGGCTGGCGGCGGGCTGGCGGCTGGCCGAAGGAGCCTCTGAGTCGTTCGGCCCCGAGCGGCTGGAGGCGGCAGAGCAGGACGACGAGGTGGCGGACCCTGCGCATCACAGCGTTGAGGGCGCCTCCACCTGCGTTTCCGAAGAGTTCGTCACCGCCAGCGGCCTCGCCGACAGCTTCGGCGCGGAGGCCATGGGCGCGGCGGACCCTGAGGAGGGGCAGGACGTCGCGGCGCACTTCAGCAATCAGGCGGCGGCGGCGCACGGACCCAGCGTCGATCTCGCAGAGCTCTTCGCCAGCTTCGAAGAGATGCTAGGGGTTGGCGTATCCGTGAGCTCCGCCAACCAGGCTGACGTGCAGTTGATTCGGCACCCCAGCAAACTGTCGGGCACCGCATGTGAGACCGTGCAGCTCTTCGACCCGATCGAGGAGCCCGAGTCTGGCGAAGCGGAGCCCGAAGGCAAGCAGGCAGAGGCTGTGCACGGCGCAGCGGTGCCCAAGGTGCGGGATCTGGAGTGCGCCCGCCTCGAGAGGGCGCTGGAGGCCCAGGTCCTGCTGTTCGAATCGCTCGAGTCGGAGCGTGCCTCGCCGCGACGGCTGGACCCGCAGCGAGAAGCTGTGAGAGCGGCGCTCGCGGCCCTGGAACACGCCAGGCGACAGGGCGACTCGTGAAGGTGGTCGTGGGCATCGTGCGGCCGCTAGACGTGCCTTGCCCTCTCGCCCTCCTTCCCCCTTGTTGAATTGAATGCATGACCACGCGCCTGCTCGCGGGTGCTCGAAGAGTAAAGAAAAATGCCCCCACCGCAGTCGTAAGTCGGACCTGTCCTTCTACAGGAGGAATATTCAGAAACAGTCTCAACAATAGTCGGGGGACGATCTTTCGAGTATTTGTTGACCGTGTTCGGTAATTTTTCTAGTATTTTGTTTTTTCGTAAAGAATCGGCCTGTAGGGGGACAGGCCGGACTTAATCGCAGTCACGTAGCAGGGGTCTCCGTGCCCTTCTCCTGAGACTTCCGATTCCAACGATGCGCTTCGGGCTCGCATGTCTGGTCGTTGTTGTCGTGGTCCGGGTGAGGTCCGCCTGTGCATTCGAGCTCGCAGAGGCCCAGGCTTGGTGCAGCAGCAGTGCACAGAGCAGGCGTAGGCAGATCCAGCCTTCACCTCTTTCTGTGCTCTTCCCTTCTCCGCAGCACCACATTGTCTGCCGCGATACCGTACTCGCCGTTTTCCAGAGCATGTCGTAATCGAGCGTTTGATTGAGAAACCTCCTTCCGAATAGCTGGGCCAGCGTTTCTTCACCAATGTGTCAGGAAGCTGGCCCAGCTTCTTGCGCAGGTTCGCTCCTCCAGCGTTCACGATAGAAACTGGCTCAGGCTTTTGCTTCAAGAAACTTCCGGGAATCTGGACCAGGTTTTAAAAGTGATGATTTTCCTGATTCTATTTCGGCTGCAGTGGACTCTCGCCCTTGCGTTTGGGGAGGGTGTCGGTCAGCTAGCTAGTCCCCTCGATCCATCGTAGGTGTACTTCAGGTCGCGGCATAGCTGCTCGCACGACGGCCGCATCGATAAATGCTCGTTCGTCGTCTGCCAAGCTCGCCGTGGGACTGGTGGCGTGGTCGTGGCGTCCCCGGGAGCCGGTGACTCTTACAACGAGAAGGCGGCCAGCGAGTAGGTACGGGGGCGCAGCAGGTCGACGTCGGGGTCCACGATCTCCAGCCGCACGGTGCGAGTGAGCTCCTGCCATGGGCTTGGCATCGCTCGGACGTGTGCCTTTTTCCTTCGGCGAGGACCATCGAGGAGCATCCTTGATCATTTGGCGAAAAAACCACGCACGAAACCGACAAAAAACAGGGAATGGACGTCCGAGCGATGCCGAGTGGGGAGGCCCTTGGAGATGGCAAGGGTCTCGGCGCCGAACTGGTGAGCACACTTCCTCTTGAGCTTGTGGTTCTTCCAGGACTGGATGGATACTGGAGCCGGTTATCATTCCAGTATCTTCCGTCTCATCGCGGGCACGATGCATCCCGCTAGTGGTGCTCCATCGCGGGCATGGGCCCACGCCGCGTCGCTGAGAGCCACGGGCGCCATCTCGTGAGAGAGCACTCGACGGAGCCTGAGCTTCGCGTCGCAGTCGCCCGCCACTGCCGATGCGATTCGCCTCCAGCAGGCCGTCCACCACCAGGCTGGGCATCTCGCTCCCTGCAGAGGCGGGGTGGGCCCCGACAGGTCAGGCCGGCTCCCGCGCGGCAGGAAGGATCCCACAAAAAAACAGTTTTTGAATTCAGAAAATCAAAAACCAGCTTTGAATTCAAGCGCCAGTTTCTGAATTCAAAAACCAGTTTGCTGAACTCAAAAACCAGACTCCCAGCACTGGCGCGCCTGCGGGTGGCACGCCAGGTCTGCGAAGCAGGCATGTAGCAACCAGAGTCGCGATCAGCGGAGGCTCTGAGCCTGGCGCAGCTCTGCTGGCGTGACTGGTGGCCGTGGCTCACGTCGTCGATCGGTAGCGGTGGTGATCAGCTGGATGTCTGTCGACCTCTTCTCCTGGCCAGACCCTCTCGGGTCATGAAAATGAGTCATGGCGGGGGGGTTTGCCCTATTTTCGGCCTCCGGGGGCCCCTACCGGGTGCTGGGACCGTCAAGAAACGACTCAGGATGACAAACCGGTCACGGGGAATAGTTCGAGACCTTTGGGAGTCGACGTTCTGAAAAAATCCTGACGTCGGGGGTCTGGGTGAGACACGATACTTTCCGTGTTGTCCATGTTCCGGGTGAGTAGCTTGCACGTGTATTTTCAGCTGTGCTGGCGCCAGGCTCCCAAAGATCATCGCTGTCGTAACTTCTCGCAGGCCTCGTCAAGCTCCTGGTCGCCTCCGCCCACGGTGCCATCAACCGTGAGGCCCTTTACTCCATGGAGCTCCTCCCAGTCCCGCTAGCAGAAGGCGCACCCGTCGAGCACAGAGTACTGGAAGCCTAAACTCCTTGGAGTACCTGGTGAAAGAGTGCAGCCAATGCACTGGGGTTTCACCCAAGCCGTAGGCAGCCTTGAGTAACGCGACCGGTGAGCCTTCCTCCGCGCTCGGAATCCCCGTCCGAGGGAGCTCCATGAGCAGTCGTCCTCAGAGCCTGCCGATGGATCTCCCGTGGTGAAGGCCGAGGTGATGCCCGCCAGCTGCAGAGTCCACCTGCTGGTGCACAGAATCTGCAAGATGAGACAAACCGAGTCCTTTCCGACCGCTGGGCTTTAGGTCTCGAGCTCCAGCAGCTCGGGATCGGTATGACCGCATGACCCTGCACTGTCCATCTCGCATTCGCCATCCGCCAGTCCTCTTCCTTGAAAATCAGCAGCTTCCTGTATTGCTGGCATCGGCCTCGTCGGGGTCGATGTCCTCGTCAGTAAGTTCCCACCTCGAACCCATGATCCTCCTGGCAAGCTGTGGGTCAGCACGTAGTTTTCGAGCCGCCGCGGGAGGATGCACGATCACGGCGTCTGCACGCTAGATGCTCCCCCACTCGCGGCGCTTGGCAGCGACGTCTTGACATCATTCGGACGTGCGTACTTCTGTTTTTTTTTTCGGCGAGGACCATCGCAGCACATCTTGGATGGCCCTGCGAAGCAGTACACGCACGACATCGACACTTGCACGGGGATTGGGCGTCCGAGCGATGGCAGCGATGTAGGGCTGGTACTTGTGGGTGTTCAGCAAGGCCTTCTCGGTGGTCTCCTTGCGGCCCGCTGCGCTGCACTTGTCAAGCATAGGCTGCCGCTGTCCCAGCTTGACACCTCCCTTGCGTCCTCCCTGCGTCTTCTTTTTTTGGGGGGGGGCTTCTGGCCGGGCCGCGCCTCTTGATGCTGTCCTCGATGTTGGCGTTCCATTGGTTCTCTGGGGTACAGTCGGACCGAGGTATAAGATCGAGGTTGGTTCGGGGGGGGGGTAACCTGATGTTCTTCGTGTTTGTTGGATGTTATTTGTGCATCCTGGGGAGGTTGCCCTTAGTTGTTCTTGGTATTTTGGCCGGCGGAGGGTCTCATGTTCTTGGTTGGGCGCTGCGTAATGGGGGGGTCATAAATGGGGGGGTGGCGAGAGTGGGCCGAAAAGGTACCCAAACGGTACCTAAACGAGCCCCTTGGGGCTCTGGAGGGGCCCGAAAGGGGCACGAAAGGGGACCTTTTCTGACCCCCCCATTTGTGACCCCCCCCATTAAGCCACGCCCAACTTGGGGGATGATCTTCTGGCCTAGGCCCGACTGCAGCATCCATTCGGGTCGTCCATGTTCTGCTTGATGGTGGTCGGTGCGTCGCTGAGGTGGGCGTATCGCTTCGTCTGCATCGGGGTCGGGTATGGCTCGAGCTCGCTCTCCTTCTCGATCTCCTTGGTGGGCTGCTCGAGGCCCGTAGGAGGAAGGTCGTCCCCTGCAGGTCCTGGGGGAGCTGCTCTTGAGACGCTCTCGGCCTCGTCCTCAGGTCGACCTTTCTGCTTGGCAAGGTCCGCGTACTGCCGTCTCCCTCGACTGCCGGTGTTGGTCGACTCCTGCGTGGTCGTGTCGACTCGAGCCCGTGCCGCGGCCTCCTCCTCGCTCGCGTGACGTAGCTATTCAGGTGAGCACTTCAGCAGCCCTCCCTGGAAGGAGCACCACGCTGTGTCGACAGCTCCACCTGCATAACCCTGGCAGGACCATGCCAGGAGTTGGCTGGTAGCTCGTCAGGGCTGCTTCGCCGGAGGTAGGCAGCGGCTTCCTGGCCAGAGGGCGGTGCCTCGGGGCGGCCCCGTCTTGCGGTGGGGTGCCCGCCTCCACGCCTCCAAGCGCTCTGCCTCGGTGTATGCCGCGACAGCGGCCTTGTGCACGTCGATGCTTCTGTCCAACTTGGTGTCCCCGTTCGTGGTTCGTGATACGGTCGCCAAAATTGGTGACCCTTCCCCCAGAATCCTTTCGGGCAGCCAGAACGGACCTCCAAGCACGCGCTGGTGAGGCGTGAAGCCTCCACGTCGCACGCTCTCACCGACGGCCCCGCTGACAGCGTCCGCAGGAGTCGGTGTTGAACTCGTCCCAGGATTCGGTGTTGATCTTCCGTCTCGTGCGGTAGAAGGTCTCCTTCCAGGTACCTCCCGCCCGATCTTGTCTGCTTGCTTGCCAAGGTGAGGTGGCACTCGTGACCTTCGCCTCGTTTCCCTCAGCGTCCGCGGCGTCAGGGGAATCTCCGACTGAGAAGCCCTTCTCCCCGTTCAAGACCGTGACCCTGGGGGTGCCGTACACAGGACTTGGGGTCGTGTTTCCTGATCAGTTGTCCTTGGCGGCTCGGCAGCGGTACCACCATCTGATGTCCAGTTCCGAGACACACAATGTCGAGTATGTGAACCTTGGTGGTCTTCTCGGGCCGAGCACGGAGAACCTGTCCATCCCGATGACGTCGTTCATCGGTATGTCGTGGTTGGCTTGGAGGGTTGAGCCAATCGTGGTCGTCGTTTTCTGGCTGCGCGCATGGGCGCTTCAGTCGTCGAGCAGCCTCGATGCACGCCTGTCTTGATCTGCCGGCCGCGCTCCAGCTCTATCACGAGGTTCTCGTTGCTACAGTGTCCCGTGTTCTCGCGAATCTTCTGGACCGCCTGCTTGATTGGTCGGGTCGGTGCTCTTCTCGTTCTGGGCTCCTCCGTGCCCTGTAGTCCCGGCAGCACAGCAGGTAGGCGTAGCCTCCCTCGTTCAGGAGGGGAAAAAACACACAGACACAATTAATCGCCGATCCCGAGGAACATCTAGGAAAATATGGGAAGTGGGGGGAAAGACAAAC